TAGTTTTAGTTTACCAAATGTTAATTAAGAGTAATGCAATTATAGTATTTTCATTTACTTTAGTAAAAATAAGGAATACTGATTTTTTTTTTGTCTAGATATCTGTATAATTATTAATATAATATAATATTATAAAAAATAATAATTTCCCATATAAAATGAAATTAGAATCATATCAAAGTATTAAATAGTTATTAATTTGCTTTACTCATCCAAAGTTATCACAACCTAACTAACTATAATATTATATAATGAAATTGAAATTGTTAGTTTATATTTTATAATTATTTTACTATACAAAAGAACAAATTTAAAATGTCTTATAATATCATCTAAGTTAAAAATGTATTTACAACTATAAGAAAAACAATACATTATATAATTTATAATGTAAATAAAGTAATAAATAAAATACAAGATTATCAATGTACAATTATTAATTATAATATTATAGTGAACATGATTAAAAATTTATTAGAAAATGCTTCTATATCATATGATTAAAAATAAAAATAAAACCCCCAATAAATTCTAATGTTATGATATTAAAAAATTCTAAAAAACTTTATCCAAAAAAATGAAAATAAAGACATCAAAATTCCAAAAAAAAAAAAAATTAGCTTATCGACAACATGCAATAGTTACAAATAAAAATAAAAATAAAAATACATATGGAAATAAAATCTACCAAAAAAATCATTTTACTAATAAATAGCAATAAACTTTATACGACAGTTTTTTTAATTTGGGACTCTGATAAATTAATTTAATTAAAAAAATCTATTGATGAGGTTCATTGAATACGACATACTAATTTGGAAACATGACATTCTAAGATTTATAAATTAATTGACACGTTCATTAATATTATTAAATTAATTGACATGCTCATTAATTTATTTTTTATAATATGATTAAAAAAATAAAACCCCTTATAAATTTTAATATTATGAAATTAAAAAAAATTCACAAAAAAAATTTACCCTGAAAATTGGGAAATAAAGATATTAAAATTCATAAAATAAAAAAATGGCATGTTCATTCTCCTAGTTTCTCCACTCCGTTTATCGTTGTAAAAACAATAACACAAAAAGGAAAAAAAAGAAAAGAAAAAGTACCTTGGACTAGAAAAGCAAGCTAGAGAGAGAAATCTATTTTGCAGCATATTATGTGGTTATGGACTATCAAAATAAGTCATGTATTAAACTCTTGACAACTTTGGCAAACCTCCAATTTAATTCAAATAGAGGGGTAAATTTAGCACTTTTGGAGCCCAAAAATAAGAAGCGTGACTCAACGAAGATCCCTACCATTCAAGTTGAAAAGATGCAGGAATTGTCCACATCTCACAATGGGAGGTTCAAATGGCCATATAAAAGCCAGGACCTTTAGTTTGCAATTGGGTTGTTCGTGACTTTGTGGGGAGGCTGATGGCAGTTGCCTCTGACGTGCGACCTATATGCATTTGGGAGGGGTTAAGGTACCCAATGATGATGATGTGTGGGGTAGAATAATTTATCATTATATTCAATAAACCCTTTCATAAGGGTAATTTTTGTGAGGAATGTGGCATCACCGGGGAGCACACTAGTGGGCTCATGTGAGTTATATCACACCTACCGGGGAGCACACTAGTGGGCTCATGTGAGTTATATCACACCTATTTAAATGATGTCATATCTTTCCTAATGATAAAAAATGCCCTCTTTAAAAAAAATCTTCATATATAAGTGATAAAAAATACCCTCATTAAAAAAAATCTCCATATACAAAACAAAGGTATATAAGTATTCAAAATTTGTTGAG